AGGTCAGGGGGGCAAAGGACAAAAAGTTTGACACACAGAAGATTGAGATTTAAACACAGATATAGTGCAACTGTTTGTTTTTATTCAATTAGGAATTGTTTTTAAATCACTTGTTGATTCTGAATCAAATTGTGAGACCACAAATCTGTGTTGAGGTTTCCAAAGATATCCAACATTACATGTAAGGACATCAATAATATGTTTCTTGCACACAAGTTCAAGGTATTCTGGTAAGTGCCTGGTTTGAATTAGCTGCTAAATGCTCCCACTGCTCAGACATAAAAATTGCACAAGTGCGATAGCGGTTTCTGTGGCACTGTAATCAACAAAAAAGACAAAATGCAACCTACATAAATATTGATATACTGGGTGATGCTGCATCATTCGTTTCTTGCAAAAGCTCTCACTGCATTGTAACATATACGTGTCTGTTGGCACTAGAAATATACGGAACTCCACAACATAACCAAGCACAAGTGTGACAACACCACCAAGACCAAGTAGACATTTGATGCAGTCAAGTATTATCAAACAACCCTAAACAGCACTTGGAGATTATACACAGGTTTTAAAGAATCCAACTGCTCTTCCTTAATTATGTGATGTCAGAAAATTGGGTCTCTAGCCACCACGGTCCTGGATCAGTCTGCTGTTGATTTACTGAACAACACAACTGTCTAATATTATGATACAGCAGAGGCTTTACATAATGTCTGATGACAAGTGACAACTACACTCTCCAGAAACATAAATCCAAAGATGAACTGAATTGTCCCATTTTACTGGTTACATTAAGGATGCATGGGAAAGGGACATTTTATGGGGCAGGTTCTTTCCCTCCATTCTGATCACATACAAAAGTTTCAATGCTTGGAATTAACGCTCGGTTTCATCTGACCCAATGTAGGATGAGCGTGTTAGAGTAAAAAGAACTGATGCAACCTGCATGACTGGAAAATCATCTAAGGCAGTGGGGTACATTCTAGAAAGAGGAAACGTGCCCACAGGCACAATTTTTGTTTGCTATGACGGTAACGACTTAATTTGTAACCTTGTGACAATTTGACAGATTTGGCCTACAATCAAAGTGTCAGTGAGTTCTACAGACAGGTGACACTTTAAAGGAAAATCTGTCACCGCAACAGCTTCAACGAACCTTGGCATCGATTCTACAAGCTTCTAGAACTCTTTTAGATGGATGAAACTTTATTCGAAACAAAATTCTCTAATTTGGTGTTTTTATAACAGCAGTAGAGAATGCTGTCTCGCACACCACTCTAAAACCTCTCACAGGTGTTGAACAGCATGATTCGCAAAATGTTCACCTTTAAACCATTCAGTGATGCTTGCGCCCAACGGAGTAGGGCTGAATGATCTGGGGAAAATATTTAATTGCAATTTTCCTGACAGATACTGCAACTGGATTTGCAATATTTTTATTTTAACGCCAAGCTTCCATGTAATATTTACTGTACACATATGGGGTACCATCAAAAGTGTGACTGTCACACAAGGACAATGACATGACAGTACAAACCCATTTCAGACACACTTCATAAACATAAATCTTAAACAGCAGCCCTTGCGATTTGCTAATTATATTGTATCAACATTTCTATTAGAAACTGATCACTTGTTCAGGTTACTATGGAGGTGATCACTCAGTACAACTTTGTATGGATTTGCAGAGATTGTTCCCTGTGAGGGGACTTGTGGCCCCAAACGATGCCAGCAAAATGCCCCCCACAGAGCAGACCCTGCTCACTGTGGGAGTCAAGGATTCATGTTTTTCCATGAATTAGTCACCTGTATGTGCATAAGAAAGCAGGCACCATACATACCACTTTCTACTGTGTTTATTAAACTGTAGTGCATCATGTGATAGGGGTACACTCATTTTTTTCCCTGCAAGATGCAAAAATCCAAAATACAACCAGCTAAAGTAACCTCTCCTAACTTCAGCCCAAATCAGACCATACAACCACCAAACTAACAGCTGCAAAAGCCACAGACTGCAACACATGATGTAGTGTAAATGACTTTTTATCATGACCTAACATGTAAGGGGGAACAAATGTCTGACCCTGGCTACAGGACACTTCTCATTCATTAGTTTAAACGGCTTATTATGAACATTCTAGGAAATTAGAACAACAAAGCTTCTGTTTTTTTTTACTGGGTATCTTCACTGTGCACCAGATTTCCAATTCTAGAAAGATAACTCACAAACAAAAACAGTCAATATTAAACAACTTGACTTAATGGCTGTTTTATACACCTGTAAAAAGTAATGCAATCAAACACAACAGTTCAGCCATAACTTTACAAAGATAATACTGATGAGTTTAGATTGAAACTGTCAGAGAGCAATCACTTTAACTTTATGTTTGTTACTGAGGACGTACAAACAGGAGGGGGGAGGATTACTAGAAACACAGGCACTACCACATCAACACTGTGACCTCAGTAATAAACATACAGCTGAATGTGTGATAAAAACTACATTTAATCCTTTGTAAAGGCAGAATATGTGGCAGAGCAGTTGCGTTTCACTGTGAAGCCGCATCAAATAATTATCAGATCATTCGGCATTGTCAGAGCACCTGGAAGCTGAGTGCTGCTCTGCTCTTCAATGTGTTTTTGTGAGACAGTGTGGTTTTAGCAAGGCTGCACTGAGGACAGCGGACCAAAACAAAACGGTAGGCTGCAGTTAGACCCACAGGAACATAAACAAGCACGGCAGCGATGCGGTTTGTGACTCCAGCCACGTGTTTGTTGATTTTACACGGATGTTAGCCGATGTTCTGATGGGGGGGCTAGCTAGCTAGCTGCTTCAGCTCCTAGCACGATGCTAGCTAGCATTGATACCCAACAGCTAATGGCTTCTCTGCAGCTGGTCTTTAGCAAGAACCACTCACCAGATCCGGGCTCCGCGTCGCTCTCGTCGCCTCCAGATATCCGTTACCGGCTACATGTTCCGTCTCGTAGCTGAAGAGTATCTGAACAGACTCCGCTTGAAGACATCACACCTCGTCTTTCTTTGCCGGGATAAAGAGAAAGCGATTGTCCTCCTTGCTAATGTCTTCCGTCCTCACCGTCTAGAGACCCCCTTTTTCCCCCTTTTCTGGACTGTGAACCGTGGGGACTTGTTCAATCAAAACGCATCGATCTCTTAATTAGCACTATGCGGCTTGTTGTGTCCCGAAGTGCCGAGTTAGAGTCTGAACCGCCTCCATTATCTTTATTTGCGCATTTACGGACAATGTGCCCGAAATTGTGCGCACGTTACACAACTGTCGGCTTGCAACCAATAACAAGGTGCAGGGACTCCAAGAGAGCCCGCCCCCTCCGTGCGCTGTGGCTCTACCCGCCACAGCCGGACGGGGCGGGAGCACGGACGCACCGCGGTTGAGTCCCTGTAGCTGCTCCTGCACAGGCACAGGCGGTGCTGCTCCTGCTGACAGTGACTGCGCCGAACTGTGAAGTCCTCAGGGGGGTTTCAGTGCTCCCATGTGCAGTTTCACTACCTCTCTGCTGCTGCTGCACAAGTAACATCAGAGTTATATCTGGCCACTCAAGCGGACGTGCCTGCTCCTCAGCCCTGGTTTGGTGTTTAAAGGGTTAATAAGTTGCATGCAACCATTTTGTGTGCTAGACTTGCTACAAAATGGCGCCACCTCTTTTTGTGCTGGTCTTTTACAAAAACCCCTTTGGTTGAGGAGGCTCACAAGAACCAGTTCCCAGGGGAGGGGCAAAACAGGCACACATTGCTGTAGAGAAGAAGAAGAAGAAAAATCCCCAAACCTGCATGGATGATCAGGAACTTATGGACATGTCTGATATTCTGTCACCAGACTGCACCTCTGGTACTGGTGCACCAATACACCCACCATGTTACTGGAGCTTTTACCTCACATTGTGCTGACAAGCAGTAATTAATCAGATTTAATTAAATGTGTACTAAATAAAATATGTAAATCAATATGGAACCCCTCCCTGACCAAGTAGGACCACTCAGATTTTAAATCTCCCACCCAAAGGAGCAAGGGAAAAAAAGTCCACTGATATAACAGAACTGATTGGATAGTTGTTTCTCTCTGGATTCCATCCATGTATTGCAGTTTGCAATAAAACGAACAGGTGTAACTCATCTGATGGCATATTCAGTATGTATCCTTTATGTCAAGGTTTGCTCCATAAATGCTTCTCTTAGCCAGTGGCTTGTAACTTTGAAGGGGGCTTTTTGTCTTATATGCCATAAATACATTTGCCAAAAAAAAAAGAAGAAAAAAAAAAGGCAGTGAAGGTCAGGTTGACTGCACACTGAACTTGGCTGCAGTGGTAGAAATACGACACTCACACTACAGCTCTTACCTGCTGTCAGTATATCTTTAGAAGTGACCAATCAACTTGAAACAAGTATTTTCTACAAGATGAAATGTTTGATGCTGGGGTATGTTTGAAGAAAAAAAACAAAACAAATTTGCACTTCTTGTCACCAATGTCCAAAGGCAGAAGTGCTTACACCTGCTTCCTAATTGATATGTTGACATGTCAAAAAGGAGAGGCAAGATAGTAAACAGATCAAATTAAGGCAATAATGTGGACTTTCAGACTCCAGAAAATCTTTTTTTGGTGTTGCATTTGTTTGTATGCATGCAAAATGAAGGAAGGACCAAGGGAGCTTGGGAGGGAAATGTGAATCCTGCCTGCTGTCTTACTTCTACACATCTGGCCAAAAGTAGGCATGGTTGTCAAGAGTCAGAAATTTACAGGTTTGGGAGATTTAAACCCCGCCCCCAATTCCAACATTGATGGAGTACTTGGGGAATAGGTGGTGATGCTCATTGAGTGTCTGCAGAGCATATTGGCCCTCCGAAGTCTAAAACTTTAACAAAAAAAGGAGAATTTCCTCATCTATGTGAGTTAGATTGTTACAAAACTCAGCAGTAAGCTGTTAACCAATGATTAGATGACATGGACTAAGTGTGGTTTGGAACCAGCAAGAAACAGCACTGGAATGTGAGGCAGTTCTGGTCTAGAGGTCACACTTGGTATTGCAGCATCATGTGGCGCACACCAGCCTAAAAACTCTTTTCCTGTTCACTGCAGTCAAAAAAGGAGCAGCAAAGACATGATGACGATATTTTTTCTGAGCATGACAAGAGTATCAGAAGTTTTGCATCTTCAGATTAATTCTATTTAATCCATTTGGTGCAGTACAATGTTTAATTGTTTCATGCCATTCATGTGTGCAGGGACTCATCAGAAATCAGCTGCTTTGGCTGGAGGAAGTCTCCAACATGTATGCTCTCAACCCCCTTGTTGAAAGAGGGACACTCGTGTGCACCCTCTGTGAGCCAGGACAATATTTTGGCATATTTCTCTGGTGAGCAACTTTAATAGGAATGAGTTGGACAACATGTTGGCATGTGGTATATGGTTCCACTTTAAGTATCCATTGGCAAAGACGTACCTATACTGTACACTGTATACGAAGGTGAAAGATGATATGACAGGTCCTCAGAAGTGAAACCCAAATATTGCCATCTTACACTGGTGAAGTCATAAGCAGCCAGAGTCTGTGCAGTAGTGACTGGGGTTGGAGATGTGGCATTGAAGTTGAGCTCAAGAAAATGAATGAAGAGCACCTATTAGGAAAAAGTAGCTACATCGGTCAGCCACAACAATAAAACCCCCATCTAATATTGTGTCGGTCCCCTCTGTATGCTAAAATGTCTCGGACTTGTTGTGACGTGAACATAGGTGCTGTTGGGATGTTGCGTGGTATCTGGCACTGGGATGTTGATGGTGGATCCTTTGGGTCTTGTGGGTTGCGAAGTGGGGCCTCTGTGGATCTGGTTTGTTTTGGCACATTCTACGCATGCTCGTTTGGAGTGTTTGGGTGTCTTGGGTGTTTGGAGGCCAGGTAAATGCCACTGGTTCTTAGTTGTGCTCATCAAGCTGGTCCAGTTTTTGCGGAGTGGCACTCAACATTGTCCTGTTAAGGGACGCCACCACTGGGGGCCTTGGGTGCTTGCCATGGAAAGCATGCTTTGTATACAACAATGTTTAGGGAGGTGGTATGTTTATACAAGTAACAGTCACATCCACAAGGGTCAAGGTTTTCCAGAGCAACATTCCATGGCAATGAGACGATCATCTTTCAGTAGTTTTAAAGTTGCAGTGCAAGACAGTTAAGTTTGTGATGGCTAGGCTCCGTGTCGTTCAACAGGCATGCGCTTACATTTTGGACAGGCAGGAGGCAAAACAGAAGTATCAGGTTTCTACCCACAGTCACTAGAGTGCATCCTGTGACACAGTTTAGAGGGAACACTGAACTCTTTGAATGTAACTTTTTAGCGCATCCTGGTGCTTACTTTCTTGACTTTGGTTACTGCACCCAAGTTCTTTACCGCATAGATGTTAGTTTGACATGTGCGACCCTCCAAAACGTTGTTGCTAACCAACAACACCCTGCCATAACAGATGCACTCCCTGACAGCAGTGGTCTCCACCATCAGGACTATGCACTCTTCCACTTCACTCTTCCAAGGTGTTGACGTGGCCTCCAAACTCCCTAGATCCATAAGATTCGACATAACAAGCAGATCCACAGAGGCCTCACCTGGCAACCTACAGGACCCAAGATTCACTGCCACTGTCCCTGTGCCAGACACCATGGGACACCTCCTGTGGTCCAGTGTCCATGCCCTAATCAGTCACAAATGTTTTGATGGCAGAAGGTGGACCTACAAAACGTAAGGCAGGTGGTTCTAATGTTATGGCAGATCACTGTATATTTGCCAGTAATGGAACCATGAACTAAAAAGAGTCTGAAATCCCAAAGACTGCCTGCCTCATCACTCACGGCAAGCACCAAAGAGGGTAACCTCTGGGTCATCACAGCAGCTACTCAAACTGTCAATCCACATTACTTGTGGGGGGGGGAGCTGGTGAGGGACTGCGTGGTGGTTACAGCGTTATAGACTTTATAGACTACTATTGCCAGTGATTGATGAAAGATAGACAGACATAAAGAAAAACATGACAAGTCCTGAAAATTGAAGCCAAAATATGACCTGTCGGGTCATGAACACAGGACCTAGGGGTTTCAAGTGGTTTCTGGCACTGGGATGTTGGTAGTGGATCCTTTGGCTCCTTTTTTATGTTCATCAAGATATTCCTGTGGATTTTTTTTGTTGTTTCTTAACCTTTTGAGAGCAGTATATGAGAGGGTTCTTGAGATGTTAGACCATTGAATTGTGCCAAAATGTGCAGTGGACACACTTTCCCTTGTAGTGAACACACCATATGTTTGCAAGGTGATTGATCGTACATGCCCAGAGACAGGAATGATGACATAAGGTACCTCAACAGTAGACAGAGGTGTGGTTAGGCAGGGTTCTTGTGTGGGTGTCACAATAGCCAAACATTACACATAGATCAGTAATACACAGGGAAACATAGGACCTATTGACTGTACTGGTTTTAATTATGCTCAGAATCTAATTACTCTTACTTAGCTGCCCACTTTTTTTCACATCTAACCTCTTGGGGAGAAGGCTTTCATAGTTTACAGATATAAGCTTGGATTACAAATTGCCTTTGAGGGTTCATGTTAAGTATATCTTCAGCTTTAGTCCAAGATAGTCCACACTGTAGTCTGTCACCATGTACAAGCCAAAACATGTTAATCTAGCAAACTTGCTTGGTAGGTATGCAGCTAACTACAATAGGTGGCTTTCCACTGCAGGAACTCCGGGCAGGTACAAGGTGGCAGTCACAGGAACGGCCCTGTAGTCGGCCTTTACAGCCTGTCTGTTTCCATTGCGTAGGATCCTACAGCTCTGAGCACGAGTGCTCCAAAATACATTAAGTAGAAGTTACTGGATGTAAGTCCACTTCCATTAATACATAGGAAATAGACCAATGGAGGTTTGTCATTTTAGCATATATCGTGAATTTAACATTTTGGTGTGCGACATTAGAGCAGAGGAGATTGCAAATGGACAAGAACATTGAGAGGGCAGAAAAATGGGATTGTCCTCTCTGAGCTAACCAATTAGTGCAGAGACCTGCACAGTAATGTTTTAGTGCTAGTCAGAAGTACCTATTCGTGACGAGGTGCTTTTTACTCTCTTGAGAACAGCCCTGAAAGAGGTTTTACAGGGGCGGTTTCTGCAGTTGGAACATGCACAAAGGTTCGGGCTGCCCCAAAACAGCCCACTTCTCAGATCACAAACAACACTCTTCACTCTTGTCTACCTGACTAGTTCCTTTGGGGCACAGCAGTTGTTACCAAGTTACAGAAATGTGGAGGCACAGATTGGACCCTCTGGGCCTGCACAGTTAGATGTTTGCCAGGAGTACAGAGCACAGGATTCCCAACATATAATTTAAAGGAGCAGAAGGGGAACTTTCTTATCTGGCCTATATACCTACCGACTTTTACAGCAGGACACAAAAAGTAATCTAACTGGAGGTTTTTGGCCACCTCATTCTGGTCTGGTTGTGCGAACAATCATAATCGCTCACCAGCCATCCTTCGCGCAGTTGGTCTTCCTATGACCCATTCTCAAGGTCAGGATTATTATTATGACATCTCTGTTCAAGATCTTAATCCCCAGAGGTCAAATCCAGATTGCCGTTGTTAGCAGTTGGGTCTTCATCTCCTCACCTTGCAAGCAATGCAGGAGTGTTTCCAAACAGGCACATAACATAGATGTGTGCACAGCAAGGAGTTGGCTAGACATAGAGTTACATGTGAATAAGGCTGGGAGACAATGCGTTGCTCAGAAATCCCTTGGGGAAAAAAAACAGCCATTCTTGACCACTCAGTCCAAGGACTAATCAGAAAGAGTGCATGATAAATATAGAACGCATCCTGGAATCAATCAGAATACACAAAAGTCCATCAAGCGAGGTCTAGGAACACAGTGAGTCATGCTACAAAGGATGAGGAAGTCTCCTTCCTTGGCTTGCTGAGGGGGATGTAGCTGAGTGACTGACAGTTGAATTTCACAGTTAAAGCCCCCCAAGGCAATTCAGTCTAGTGCTGGTGTCTGTCTGTAAGGGAGGTTGTAGCTCCTACTTCAGAAATCCTTCGAGGGTGTTTGAAAACTGACAGATGTGCAGATCAACACTTGACTTTTTGCCTCTGCATAGATTAATGAAACTGCTACAGGGGCCTGGCATTCAAATGGCAAGAAGCCTGACCTCTGGAGGCAAAAATGTTGCCTGGGAAGTAAAAGATGCTAAACAAGTTATGCAGCGAACAGAAAGGCACAAGAAACATTTTTTCTTCCATTCTAATACATGCTACAAATTAAGGGAGACTCCTGTGGCCACTCTGTGGATGTTGCGATAATAGCAGTAAAACTTTGACTCCCTGCATGACCTTGCCAGAGGGATAGAGCACACACACACACTTCTGCTTTGCACAAGAACCTGAGGAAACAGACAAATGTCTATATAGACACAGGAAATATTAAAGCCAACATTAACTTGTCTAAACTGGGTTGCGGCTTCTCTACAATTGAGAGAATAACATAAGAACTACAATTTGAATGTATATACTCCTGTTTTAAGATGAGATTTGTCAGCTCACTGCAAAAGGTACCTCCTACTCAGAGTTTACAAGTTGTCCTTTTACCAAATAGCAGCAGTTGATGACTTGTCAATCAGTGCAGCTGGCCTTTTAGTATGAGCTTTGTCCCCAGAGAAACAACAATTTATAAACAACATGGCCTTTTATCTACGACCACCAAAATGTTTTCCCATTATCATAAACACCATTAGCTACTGGTGCCGCCATGTTTTGGGGCCACTGAGTGTCAACCTTAAGTTTGTGATCTTAAGTCGTATTTTATTACCCACTAGTGATGGAAGGACAGCATGATTAAAGCAGATAGTGTGATCTGTGATGATTTGGCAATCAGGACAAACAGGACACTGGATCTCCTACAGCATTGCCAGCTCTCTGACTACATCCAAATAAATAATGCAATTGCATCAGTAGATTAAGCTGCTAACACTGAATACTAACTTATTCAATAGAAAGACACAAATCTCATGCCGCTGATCTAGGCTCTGAAAATAGTGTGATATTATTTGGGTATGTTGTTGTAATGAGCCAATTGCAGTATGATAAAGATGTCAATGAATGCAAAATGAGGGTTTATGAAACCAGAATGCTCTACTGAGAAGCCACAATATTAAAAGATAAAACTGGTTTTCAGTAGGACCATGAAAGTTGGAGAGTGGGGCAGACAGTCAACTAAAAGCTGTGGGCTAACAACATGCTGCCAACATACTCCCACATTTTCCCTCAGTTTCTATGTTGTTGTCAAGTATAATCGAAATTATAAACCTAAACTACACGTCAAAGGAACAAAAATACACACCTAGAGCCAAAAAGGGAGTCAAAGCAAAACTAATAGGACATACAGTCATTTGTATAACTTTAATGGCACAGTCATCTTACTGGCTGACGACGCTATCTTTTCAAAATCAAGATATATGCACAAGACTGATTAAAAGTACTCTCAAAAATCACATAAGTCTAAGTAAAACAGGATGAAAAATGCAGCAACATGATTTACAGAAACAGCATTACATGAACAGTAGCCGTTAAAAATACAATGAAAAGCAACATAATTTACCCTACCTAGTTAACTGGTGGGACTCTCAAGTTAGCTGCACCCACATCATGTGGTAGAACACTGGGTTTAAATGTGCATTTTACTCTTAACAGAGTTGTGTTGGTTTAATAATTGTTCGTTTGTCATTTGTTTAATTGTTTTCTGAGCCATGAGAAGTCTGGTGCCGAAGAAACGTCTCCAAGCACGAAAACGTCTCAGTGCACTCAGTGCATTCATAAAGAACCTCTGAGGAACTTCTTTTATCATTTTGAGTTTGGTCCATATAGTCATCCTCAATATCCTCTGCATTGTCCTTTTCTAGGGCAGGGTCCCCACTCGCATCAGTGCCATGAGATGTTTGGCCAACATCATCTCCTTGTCCAGTGGTTGGGTGATTTTGAAGAGGAAGCTCAAGGGACGAGGAACTCCTTAACTGAGTTGGACTCTGAGGACACTTGTTGGGTTCCTTTTTGTGATAGCGCAAGTGTCTTTGGTACACACATAACAACCCAAATCTCTTCCCGCACTCCTGACACTTGTAGTTAACTCGGCCTGCTTTTCCTGATTGCTTCTCTGTTGCTTGCTGCTCTGATGACATTATTTGCTCATTGTCAGAGGAGCTTTTGGTGTTCTCTTCAGCAAGACTTGTGATTTTCTCGTCATCAAGAGATCTAGGGAGAGGTCCATTTGAAGATGCATATAAGTGTTTCAGACCTGGTTTCTTATCCAATTCAGCTTTGTGGTACATGACTACATGCCTTCTCAAGTCACAGCGCTGAGGAAAATGTCGACCACAAAACACACAGGTGTGCATTGTGCCTTTATGGTATCTCATGTGCCGAGACAAACTACTAGAATGATTGAAGACACGATGGCAGTGTTTGCAGGGATGTAGCTTTCCATTTGGATTACCCCCTCTTTTACGCTTGCCTTTTGGTGGCACCCTTCGCTTAAAAGTTTTTTCGGACTCTTGATTCAGCTGATCTATTTCCTCCTGAGTTTGATGTGTTAGATGATGCTCCTTCAGAGCTGCCAACTTTTGAAAACGATCCCCACATAGGCCACATC